AAGACAACAGTGAAAGACAAGCAATTGATCAGTGATTTTGTGGACAATTATGAACACAAAACCAAACACTTCTTTATTCACTATATATTCACAATCAATTACGGCTTAATGTGAACATATTTTTGCGATAATTGTTTGCAAAGTTAGCTTAAACTCAAATAATGGCCTTATTTTGCGTACAAATGGCCTTAAACTGTAACTAAACACTAATTGCACACAAATTGATTGTACTTTGAATGAGTGAATTAGAAATAATGATAAATGAGAGCAAAATGAATGGGTGAATGGGGTGGTCGTAATTGTTGCTGAGGCGGCAACAGTACTGACGGAACCGGCAATTTGTGTGTTCCAGCATTGACTCGTTGGCAGTGAACGCATGCGCACAGCACTAGTCTGTGGCACACATTCCGCACGTTTGACGACATATTTCTTTCTCTTTCGATACAACCACTGAATACACGACTAAAATGCCTGTAAGTGTCCCGCAATTATCTCATTCCTCGCTTACCATTCACTGTATTTCATGTCATTTACTAATCATTTTGTCCGTAAACATGGGGTGCATGTGGTGTACGGCCAATGGGTTCACTTGAATGTCATTTAATAGCGATTAGAATGCATTAACTAATTGTTGTGAAACATGTGCTCAACACTAGGCATACGTTTCAATACGTTTTGCATTGATTTGAATGCATTGTATATAACAGTGAATGACATTCAAGTGATGACTGAATCTGATGTTATGATCACTTGTTGATCACTGAATCTCATGTTTGGATGACGTGTCTAATTGCATGTCTGTTTGTGTGGACAGTTGGCTAGAGATCTATTACACCCGTTGGCGGTGGACGAGCGACGCAAATGTAAACTCAAACGTCTGGTACAACACCCCAACAGCTTCTTCATGGACGTGAAGTGTCCGGGTATGCCATCACTCACTCATTACCATTGATTATCTCATACACTAACGCATCTGTGGTGCCAATGATAGGTTGTCTGAAGATCACAACCGTCTTCAGTCACGCGCAGACTGTCGTCCA